AAAAAAAAAAAAAAAAAAAAAAAAAAAAAAAAAAAAAAAAAAAAAAAAAAAAAAAAAAAAAACAATACGATACAAGATGGGAGATGGTTCAGTTGATCCATTTCCAGTGATCTCAAACAGAGATGGGTCAAGAAATTAGCGGAGCAACATGGATGGTTGGAACTTGGAACCGATACCCTGGGAGTTCTAGAGTAATATCAAACCTACTAGAATTAGAAGGCTGCAATGGCTAGTACTCTGTTGGGCTGTTCCAGTGTACAAATGGTTAGATGCTCACATGAAAAAAAGAGTCAGAGAACAGGACAATCACCACTCCATAAAATGTGCACGGATAACATAACTGAATCGCTAATCCATCGCTTAATCAACTGCCATCTCAGAGGAGAGATCGGGGATGGGATTAATAAAGCATGGTCAAATATATTTCCTATACACAGCTCCCCCCCTCACAGTCTGACGATCGGCTTTCAGCAATGGACAGACACGGTGTTTTGTTGAAGGAAGGAATAACGGACGGTAGCAGACGTGATAAGAACAGTGGCCCTGGAAGTCGAGAAACAACAAGGGAACGGACGGTAGCAGACTTGATAAGAAGAGTGGCAATGGACAGACAGTGTAATATAAGGTCAGATGCAGAGGAAGTCGAGATACAACAAGGGAACAGAAAACGAGCTCAGAGAAATCATAGATACAGGGATCAGAAGAGCCCAATGGAAGAAGGAACAAGCTAAAACTCATGGGTGGATCTTTGAACTGAGGCAACGTTTAATGATACGCGCCGAATGGAAAAAGAATTTGATCACAAGAATAGTGAAGAGAGAGAAAAGATTAGCGAAGATTTCAGATTGCCAGTCTGCCAGACAATAAAAAATACCAAAACTAAGAGAGGAAAACCGTAAGTTTCCTCGACTGCAGCAGCGAGGACCAGAGAGGGATAACACAGATAGCTCAGATGAAACAGATCACCTAGATAAGGACCAACAGGACACAAGAAGGGGAGAGAAAAGGAGGCTCTCTCACGGGGAAGATGATGGCTGGAAAAAAAAAAAGAAAAAAAAAGAAGCAAACCAAGGCAAAAACATACATGGAAGGGAACGGTAGGGACGGGAAGGGACCGGAAGCAAGGGCAAGGAACAAACAGTGACAGGTAACTTACGTGTCTTGCCATCCAACGAAAGAACAGTCGTAGAAGGCTGCTTGATCTGCAGTCACTCGAATGGCCACGGCTTGACTGATGAGCGATCCAAACGGAGGCCTAGGCGCATCATTCCTGAATGTAATTCCACGTGCAATGAAGCCGCGTCCTTCGACAATGACCGATGGGGAAAAGTAGGTCTTGATAGCATCGCCTTTACTGGTCATGATGTCGGCCGTCAGATTGAAAGATATGGTGGTTATTTCTCTACCCCAGCCAACAAGCGAGATGAAGGGCTTCTTCTTCGGAATCCATATCCGTTCGAAGTAGTGCCCAGGCTTGACCAAAATCACGTACCTACTCTCCGACTCCCACGGTACATGATCAATGGCCGCCTGCACCTCAGTGAAATCCCCACTGCCATCCAAGGCCACAATGAAGTTGGGCTGTTGGCTGTGCTTCAGGTAGGTTAGCGGGTGCTTCGTGCGTGGAAGGCCTGCGCTGCTCACATTGGGCTTTTCCGCAGGGGCAAACATGGACGGGGGAAGCGTGATAATTGGCCTCCCTTCCAGCGTCAAAGGCGGGTAGGTCATATTCAACCATGTTTGATTGTACAATGTCTGATTGGTCGGAACAACATTATCCGGGTCATCGTTATTCAGCGACGGTGGAGCGGCAGTGGAATTGGGGGCGTAGTCCGGGAAGGTTGACGGGGGCGCACTCGCTGGAGCTGATCGGGGCGCCCAAGTCACCGGCACAGGAATACCAGTGACAGGGTCGAAGTAGTAAGGCAATTGTGAAGTGGGACTGGAGCTGGAGGGAGTGACGGTGTTATTTCTTGGCTTCCCATAATCTGTCGGATTCGCAGTGTAATTCCCGTAGTCAGGCTGCGGAGCTGTGGTGAAGTCGTTGTAGTCTGTAGGCCGGGTCGTATTTGCTCCTCCGGCTGAGCTGTTCGTAGGGGTTGCCAAAGGAGGGAGTGATGGCATTGGCGAGGAAAGCGAGGATGAAGGCGATGCAGGCAAGGGTGGACTCGAATCAGCTGTCGACGGTGGGGTGGCTGTAGGAGTAGAGGGAGGGATAGAAGTGGGAGCAGGAGGGGGCGGAGGTGGAGGGGGAGGCGGAGGGGGGGTAGAAGCAGTAGCAGCCGGAGACGAGGGGGGACTCCCCACACTGCTCGACGAGTTTCCATATGCAGGAGCGGAGGGCGCAGCCCCGGGAGAAGCAGGAGGCCCGGCAGAAGGAACAGAGGGAGGAGCACTGGAAGGGGGAGCACTGGAAGGACGAGCACGGTAAGGACGAGCACTGGAAGGACGAGCACTGGAAGGACGAGCACTGGAAGGAGGAGCACTGGAAGGAGGAGCAGAAGGCCCGTCAGGTGCGACACCCTGTAGAATGCGTGCCACACGTCCAAGGTGAACGACTGCTGTCGCGAGAGCTCGGCGAGCAGAGCTCAGGAACACTCCATCAGGTGAGGAGCTGGCTGCCAAATTATAGGGCCCATCACCACCGTCAAGGACCCTCCTTGATGCAACCATTGCATGGTCAGATGGAGATAGAAACCTGGCCCCATCCCCCTTATCCGTTAAATGAGCATGAAGCACATCGGAACTTGGGTAGAGACAAAGTGCAGAAAACACGGTGGCCGCTGTCAGCATAAGCAGAACGGTCGTGAACACTCCTGCCGCTCTGGTAAGTAACCACACATGTTTAGATGCCACGGTCTGCCGACTGCTCTTCATCATGACGGTCAATTGAAACCCCTTTCACAGCAGGATCTTCCTGCCGCGAGGGGTGAAGCAAAGTGGGCACCACCCTCTACAATCACGGCCGCCGCCACTCCCGACGCCTCTTCTTCCAGTCGCAGATACCAGGAGGACTTGGGCCTCTAGCCAAGGTGCTTGTTTGCCTGTCTTGCCTCCCAACCAACCTATGGCATTCCTCCCATGATCCTATCTACCATTGCCTTTCTTTTTTACCCTTACTTTGACAACGCTTGAAAGAGAAAACGTGCTCTTCCCTGGCAAAACCAACACAGCGCGCAAGCTTCAGACTGACTGTTAGTTCTCAATTCAGTGACCGAAATCTTGATGCAAAGCCGAAGGTCATAGACAACACCCTCTTCAGTCTAAACAGAACTGGAAGCCCCTCTCTTCTATCGTCTTCAGGGGTTCAATCACCAGCACACAGAGCTCTACTCTGAGTCAAACTTCACTGAAACTCCAGACCGTATGGTCGCACTATTCAGGTATCCGAGTTCAAATACATTGCAACCAGAAGCTACTGCACTCCATATGATCAAAACTTCAAAATCAAACAGCCCACGTAGCTTGGTACCCTCTTCTCTCAACCTGCAAAAAAACACAGCCAGAATCCACAGAGCACCAGATGGCACCATCCGTCAGAAGAGGTCAAGCTGCCCAGCCCCCAGAGCTGTGATCGAGTTCATGACATCCGTTCTACCAACAGCCCACATATTATGAAGCATGTGAATTGAAAGAACAATGAGAAAAATGGATGATTTCAGTGTGCCCCTTCATGTTTGCCTTGTTTTTTTTTCTCCTAATTTTCGGTTTGTTATACTGTTCGTTTCGCGAAGTGAAAAAAAAACAAAGCGATACAGAGAAGATTGCATGGCCCCTGCACAAGGATGACACGCATAAATCGAGAAACGGTCCAACTTTAAAATAAAAAACAAACAAACAAACAAACAAACAAACCAACGCCGGGTAGGTTTTCAACTGCTGTACCTTCCAAAATCACCAATAGTGACCCCGAGCATCCTGCAACGAAGGCTTAGCACCTCATCCAATCACCTTGCCAATACATTCAGCTGCTCGATCAGAGCAGCACACTAACCGAGGTGCTATGCCTTCGGTGCGGGATCACCTTGCAAATAAGTTCAGCCGCTCGATCAGAGCAGCACACTGCCGGCTATGCACCGATATTCTCTTCATCAACTTTTACAGGGGTGCAACATTCACACCAGTGGAAGCTTTGGCGTCACCACGTCAAATGGTTCAAGCAGTATGAAACATATAACAGATAATGGAAATCAAGGATAGTTTTTTCCCGACTCAGAAGACCTGAAAAGCGCACAGAACTCCACCAGTCTCACTGAGGGATGTAAAGAGGGCTTCGTAGAAGACGTGGGTCACTCCTTGTTACCTTCCCAAACGGCAGACCAAATCTGGCCCATAGGAATAACTATCTGGCTTTCAGTAACCGAGATGATTCCATCGAGACCCTATCCTGCTCATGACAGGCTTTCACGTCCCGGGCCACTGGTTGGGTAACCAGTGCTAACCACAAAGGTGTTTTTTTTTCCAAAGCGTTCGTCAGTCCACCCTGTGAGAGACTCCCCGTGCCAGCCTCAGAGGCCCGGGGGAGTGTTAAACAAATGAGAGAAACCAGCTTCAGGGCACCCTGCCTGGGTACCCTGGGCCGGTTTTGAAAAAAAAAAAAAAAAAGAAAGAGCTTCAGGGCGGATTGGACAAAAGCGTAGGAAAACATAGTTTAGTTTTGAACCAGTGCAGGAGGAAGAAAACGATGACGAAGAAAAATTATTGAACTGCGGGTGGAGAAGCAATCGGACTCCCACGCTCCCAAAACTAGAACAAGCCAGGGTTAAAGAAAGGAGAAAATTGGGTGCACAATTCCAGCTCATAGTGAGTTACGGGGTTGCAATTTCCTTTCTTTTTCCCCCCCCCACGCAATTTTTGCAAAGTGTTCAAGCGGATTACTGATTATGGAATTACTGAGTCTTATTGGACTGTAGATAACAAGATCACCCGCGAGAAACACAGAATCCGAGATGATTCCATTGAGACCCTATTCTGCTCATGACAGGCTTTCACGACCCTGACCACTGGTTGGTTAACCACAAAGGTGTTTTTTTTTTCCAAAGCGTTCGTCAGGCCACCCTGTGATCATTCAGGTCCAGTTCCCCACAAATGGACAGTAGCCATCTATTGGGGGGATGCTAATATCAACCTCGTTTGTACCACCAGCAGATGCTAAAAAAGTAATAATAATTAATAAACATTCAGAAAAAAGTTCAATAATAAACCACTTTTGAAAACAGAAGCCGTTCAGATCCTCGTTCACCTGTCTCTTGCACCGATGTCCCCTTTAAACACATCCCCTTCACTGTCCACCAAACGCTAACCAACAAGGAGATTATATAAACCTAGCTACTACTACGGATGCTTCCAGTGTTATTTCGTGCTTCATTCAAGTTGCCTTCACAGCACAGGCCGTGACACTTCTTTCCAACTGATAGAGCAACGTGGAGAAAGGACCGGTCGAGGTCTAGTGAAGCGAGGACGAAACAACACTGGAGATCCCACGAAACAACAAACACGCTTCGCCTCGAAGATTCACTGAAACTCCACTCGTGGTTAATGGGTGGGGTCACTGGGGTGTCATTTTCGGCGAATTTTTCACCGAAACTGCCATATTTCTCTTATTTTTTTATTTATTTTTTGTATGATATGTATGTGGTTTAGGGTATACCTGTATCCAGTTTCGACGTATTTGGACCAGTAACGAAAAAGTTGGCAAAAAAAACCGAATTCGGGAAGTTTTTTGGCGAACACCGAAAGCTACTCCGAATATTTTTTCTTTTCTTTTTTTTTTGCCTGTTTGGTTTCCTGATGTCTGTATTATGAGCTTGCATAGTTTGTTCGCAATTTTTTCGACAACATTGCGTGTAGTGATGCGGCGAAAACCCCCAAATTTTGGATCTTCCATTAACCATCTCTCTGAAACGACCATCTCCACACGAATAGAACGCCCGGTCATTATCAGTGCATCTGGACCGGGAGTTGTGCCAAATACAGATATAATGAACGGGCGTTCTATTCGAGTGAAGACGGTGGGTTGGTTCTGACCTTGGACTTATCTGATAGCCTCGGCAGGTCAGGTCCAGAGTTGCTGGTGGCTTACAGACGGCACATCAGACCCCTATTAAAAGAGGGAGCCCTACCTTACGAGACCATGCCAGAGCTACAGCAAAATCAAGGACCACAAGACTAATACGTGACATTCTGGTTTAATGCGCACTCACGTTGGTAAACCCATGAACTGTCAACACTTGAAACGCGCACCCAAGTTCGAATGCAGAACCTAACCTGATCTAACTCTGAATTTACCTGCGGCCGGTGAGTTCCCAGAGACGATATCCCAAGGCAGTCGTCCTTTTAGAAAAAGAAAACGAAAAAGAAAGAACATGCACCGCGCACTTACCCTCAACTTCATGTCTACCCCTTAAGTTACGCATCTCTCCACACCTGTCCCTTTTTTATTTGAAAACTGTAGCTCAGTCTACTTAGGGGAGCGATAGGAGAATCTCCCCCTCGTATCGCCTGCCCCCGTGCTCCAGTCTATTGGTGGGGAGCCTCACATGAAGGAAACCGGGTCCAGCATCCCTGGTACAGCATTCCCCTCATACACAACAGTCTGATTATCACTCGAGTTACTCTCACTAGTTCGCTCTGCGGCATTGAGTGGCCCAAATTGGGGGATCGACTGGCGGAGGAGATCCTGCATCCCATGAACAACCTCTTCAGCCTCTGAGCGGCTGCCTCCATCGGTCCTGCGTCCCTCACATCAGGCTTGTAACGGAGCGAGTTCCATCAATGGGACGGACGCAGGACCCGACTTCCAGCCTTGTTTGTAATAATAAAAGGGGCTCATTTGTTTGGAAAAAAAAAAAACAAAAAAAAAAAACAAAAAAAAACAATCCATCTACCAACTGAACAAAAAAATATCCAACATACCAGCAGAAAAACAGTGGGCCTCGTCGTAGCTACGGTGGTCTTTAAAGGTATTAGCGGTTTAACAACAACATCCGCACGGGAAGCTTGGGAACATGACAGCTTTGGAAGAGCAAAACAAGTCGAAAGGAACTGTTGGAACACACCAAAAAGGAAGGCTTCAAGAGTAAGTGACACTGGTACACTACAGCACACACACATGGTAATCAGCACTGCATCTGTATAAGCCCAGACCGCGGCCATTCTCACAGCACAGCAGCAGATCAGGGGGCATCGGCCACTGATTTATGATCGAAATGGCCACATGAGAAGTCCGTACACTAAAGAGACAGCCAGGTGTAGGCCGTACAGCAGCAGACCTTACCCTGAGGGAAGGTACGTTTGCTACAATACGCTCTCATTGCGGCCTTTGTGTGTCATCTTCCCGCACAAAGCTACAGACTGCCAGGTCTCCTCTGCCTTCTTTTTCTGTAATTTGGACAATTTCTCAATTTATGGGGTCATGCGAATCGTCTCTCTATGGGCCTAGTTGCGCTACTCGCCATCCGCCAACATTTCGAATGCATCTGGATTCAAAATTTAGGGGATGTCACCAAGGATTCTCCTCCGCATTTTCTGAAAAAAAAAAGAAAAAAAAAAGCAGTGTACATTTGCCTGACAGGACTTGGATGAAGAAGTGCGAATGCTGATGACATACTCACACTGGGACTTGTCAGAGCGAATCTGACCGTGTCCGTTGACGGCATTCAGTGAACAGCAACAGGTTTCACCTGCCTCACTCAAAGGGCCTCGCCACACCACCACTGTCGAAACGAAAAGAGAACGAATGCATCTGCCGCAGGAAGTGCATCTTTTTTTGCTATTCATAGTAACTGATGCATCTTGCCCTTCTCTGCGGGGAGATGTATTCCTTCGTCTTGCATTCCGACAGTGGTGCGGCGATGCCCAAGGACTGCAGTTAGCCCCGTTGAGGGCATACTCACACCACCACTTCACTTATTCCACTCAGCTCTCGCCGTGATGCCGGTCAGATACATACAGGAAATAAGCTCCGAGTATGCATGACCTAAGAGGGAGACAAAAGAACCCTTGTACAATGCATGACCTAAGAGGGAAACAAAAAGAACCCTTGTACATCCAGGAAATAAGCTCCCCAAGTATGCATGGCCTAAGAGGGAAACAAAAGAAGCCCGAAAGGGTTACAAAAATAACCACTGCAGGTAGCCTGTTCGAGGAAAGAATGTCTGTCAAAGCCACCACATCCGTTTCTTGTGGTCAGATAGATTTCTAATTATACATACCGCGAGTTATATAGCAAGTTAACTCCTTTTGGACTGGGTAAGGAATTTCCAAACTCAGGTGCCGAATGCAGTTACTGGCTGGCAAGTCCACGGATTTTCGCATTCGTGGCATGCTCAAGACCCTATCCCAAGGCAGAGACATAGCACACTGCCGGTAGTAGTAAGAACTTCTGAGAGGCCTGGAACAAGCCAAGACCCCTGCTGAATCCAATTAACATGTACCCCTTTCTACGCAAAGTCATCTTGAGGTACAAGAGCAAATCGACCTACAGA